ATTCTCCTGCACCCAGGAACCCCCCATCTTTGCCAGTGCAGCTGCAGAGCACTGGCCGTCATCCAGCCCATTGGCGGACCCAGACGTTGGCTCAGTCCCTGCACAGCCTCAACGGGCTCTCTGGAGAGAGGGAAGAGCAGTGCTCTGCTCAGGTGCTGCGGGGTTGAGCAGAAACCTGACCCTGCAGGTAGTGGAACTGCGGGCATCGCCACGTCTCCCCATGCCACCGACAGAGCTGGTCCAACAGGTGATAGACAGGTCAAGCTGCACCAACAGACTTAGAGCTTCGTTTCTTTCTTGACAAAACCATCAGTCAAGGTGTTCCGCCCAAACGCGGACTGAAATGGGAGCAGGCCACCTGCCCGAGGTTGACCTGCCACCTCATTCTTGAGCGCTTTGCTCACGAAAGGGATGTTTGCATCTGGGTCACCAATGTTACAATGTTCTGGGTCCAAAGGAGGTTTCTGGAGAAGTGGTCATAAAACTGCCTCTTTCAAGATGGCGGCACTTCCTCACTGCTGCTGGGACTGATCTAGTCAACCCCTTCCAGTTTTATGTGGCTAACCTTCACGGCAAGGGTAAGCAACGCAGGAGGTTGGCTCCACCCATCCAAGTACCTCAACCACATGCATAAGACACATCAACTGAAACTGATCCCTTGCACTCAGACTAGATGCCACCTCGGAAGCCTCCGAAGAATATACGAATTCTAGCATCACAGTCAAACTGAATGCGAGTGGTTGGCTCCAAAAGTGCCTTGCGATCCTGACACAAGAAGCTTCTGCGGGCTCCAAGGCAGGGATGGGCAACGAGTCGCTCCCTGGGTAGCCTGGACAGCAACTCCCAGGATCCCTGGCCAGTGGCCATGCCGGCTGGGATCTCTGGCCAAAGTCCGGCCTTCCAGCTCCCACCCTCTCCTGCTCTGCGGAGGTTCCAGGTGTAGCAACCCACCGCTACCTGGAAAAGCTCTGCTGGAGAGCTGCCTACCAATGCTGCAGCGAGCAAGAATCGATGCTGGTTCACCACCAGCACCAAGGGGGCTCAGTAACGTGCCCTCACCTGTGTCCCGAGGGGAGCTGTGCCATCCTAGCAGCTTCCTTGCCCTCAGCTCCCGGGTGAGCTCTAAACAGAACCAGAACCAGAACCGTTCGTTCCCTTCATCATCAGGGTCAATCGGCGCCCAGCCCCAGAATCCTCCACAACATCCATCGATTATTTATTCTTATGGAAACATGATGGGAAACATGACCCCAGGAACACAGAAACTGGGGGAACGCAGCAACCCTTCCGAGGATCCTTCCCTTACAAGCCGGCAGGAGCCAGGTTCTCCCAGGAAGCATGTAGCAGAATTGACGCTGCTCAGCTTCCAACGCAGGAGTGTTTCGGACCGGGGCAGCTGCAGGCCAGTCCACCAGAGAGCAGGACAGTAGGAGTGTTGGATGCTTTTCACTCCAGAGGCCAAATCCCATGTTGGGGAAGCACTCAGAGGTGGGTGGGGCCACAAGCAAGAAGGGCATGGCCCCGGAGACCACCCTATTGTAGCTTCTGCCTCTAACGGACCCGTGGGAGAGACTCTTCCACATTTAAGAAGCGTTTTGGGGGGCAGGGATGAGCAAAAACTGGGAATTGGCCAAATGGGGAACAAGGGGCGTGTGGCCACCAGGGGAACCCTGGTGGGCCAGTCTGGAACCACAGGTAGTTCAGATTTGGACCACTAGCCTGAGGCTTGTTACCCCTGCGTTATGCAGACAGGCTGGGGAATCAGCTGGCAGCTCTGAAACATTTGGGTCCGCCCTCCTTCTCCTTCTACAGCAGATGGGTAGAGGGGGCTCTGTCCAAATGCATGCGGAAAGGGGCAAGGCTCTTCCATGGGGGGTGAGCTAGGATTCTGCCCTGGAGCTGCTGCCACCAGTTGATAATCAGGTCCTCAGCAGCCACTGACCTGGAGCAAGGCAGAAGTGCTCCCAAGTGGCCAGGTGGAGACCTGCTTTGTGGCCACGAGGGCTAGAAACTCTGTAGCCTTCTTTGCGAGGCTTGCTCACAGTAAGAGCCCAGCACAGTTAGCCGTTCGCTGCAGCTTCTTGTGGTTCCACGCAAAGCGCAATCCTCAGCAACACAGGCCAGTCCCTTTCTGAACTGTACGACGCTGACCTCACGAGCATCAGCAACCTTGATCGCAGGGCTCTTGCAAGCGTCTAATAATTTCTCCCACCCCTCCCTGTTTTGTGGAGATGGAGCTGTACTTGCAAGCCAGTTTTTTTAGGAAAGCCATCCGCTTAATTCTACATGTCATGCCCGAGCTACCAAAAATAAAAAAGCTGTGTTCTCCCAGCTTGGCTAGATTTAACCTTAAATTATCTCCACCCTCACCCCCACCCCACACGCTCACAATAAAGTAGAGGTGCTGCAGCTTGTACTCCAAGAGCGACAACTACAGCGCAGTCAATGGCGATGATGGGAGCTCCAGGAGTGACACAACTTCTCCATCCATGACCTGAACAAAACGGACAGTGGAAACCATTCCAGTCATGGGTCAGGATTAATTTAGGGGTTCTTAGGGCACAGCAGAGATGTAAATTTATCTACTGACTTATTTGTATTTCTCTCTATATATATACACACACACACATATGTATATAAATAATAACCTTATTTAGATTAAATGGACCAAAGCGTCAGGAGATTGCAACTTCTTGCATTGCCAATGGATTCCGTATCGGAGAAAGGAAGCGAAATTCAAGTTGGGACAGTATGAGAGTAAGATGCGATTCTACAATGGCTAGGAAGAGCTCGGCCTGGCGGGTTATGGAGCGATAGCTAAAGACACCTCTTTCCACAGTGCGCCACCAGGTCCTGACCTTGCAAAAGCTGAGGGAGCCAGTGGAGCGGTGCACCTTTAGGCAGGGCTGGGAGCACCCGCGCTGGGGACGGGCCCACATCCGTTCACAGGCGCATAGGATGCAAAGGCAACACGGATCCGGTCCTGTGGGGGTGTTCACCACACACTGACCATTTCAGACAAGCCGATTCCACTCGCTTCCGACCCACAAGGACTGCCCAGGTTGATGCCACACCGAGAGTGCTGGCACCGTACCGGCTTCAGCATGGAAGTCAACACAGACCTGCTCACCTGTGCTGCCAGCCGGTCAAAGGCACCACGGAGATCCCCTCTCCCAAGGGCTGGGGAAGGACTGTTTTGCACTGGCGGGGGTTTTAATCTGCGCTAGAGCGGAGCTGACTTCAAAAAGCAAGCCCGCCGGACTGGCTCGGCTGGGGAGCCGTGGTGCAGCCAAGCCTTCATGGAGCCAGCAGGATTCCACAGTGCTGCAGCGGCTAAAACTGGCCTGACGGAGAGGCTGCGCCCGCCTTGCTTGTCGCACGGTAGGAAACTTTGCATCAGGCTAACGACACGCTTCGCAAGGTGGGGAAGCTATTCCTGCAGCTAACTGCCACACGGAAAACCCATTTCCTGAAGCACAGCCTTCCCAATCAGCCCGGGTTTAGCAAAGCCCCGCTGGTGTGGAGAAGATAGAGGGACCTCAGGAAAGAGACTGGGGACGGGGGGGTCCTCCCACATCCCCCACTTCCCAGCAAAACCACAAGCAGGCGAGGAAAGAGTTGCCACAGGCAAGGGAGCGCAAGGGGGGGCATGCTTCGGAGTCACCCCAGCAGTAGGCAGGCGGGCAGGGCGGCCGGCGGAAGTGCCCTCTCTTTGCCTCCGCAGCTGCCTTGGAATGACCCTCTAATTTGTGCCAAGTTTAGCAGCTGAGGCAAAACCCGTTTGCCCTCTGTGGTCTGGGGGAAAGACACCAACCTCTCCCACAGGCTGCTGCTCGCCACACTGCACACCGACACACACACCCCTGGCACAATCCCAGTGGTGGCACCTGTATTCCAGACACTTCTCCACTCTCCAAAGGATAGGGGCCAGGAGGCTGGGAATGGGGTGGCCAGGGGGCAGGAGGAGAGACGGCCAGGGTGGGGGGAGAGGCAGAGAGACGCGCCGTCTCCGCTCTGGGTCTCTCTGCCGCACGATCAGAGCTCACTCATCCGTGAAACAATATTAGGCACCAACTCGAAAGTAACTTCACACCACGCTTCTTAATTCACCTTAGATTACTTAAGTGCTTTTGCTGCTCGCTGCTGAATAAAACAAGAGTCCCACTTAGGAAGCCAAGCGGGGTGGACAAAAGGAGAGGGAGAGATACCCGCCACATCCCAAGGGCTGGGTGGTGCCCAAGGGGCACTCAAGTTGCACATGCCTTCCAAGAGCAGGGCACGGGAGCGGGGGGGCGGAATAGGCGGCAGGGGAAGGTTCAAGGCAGGTGTGTGTAGGGACATACACACAGTCCTTGGCCATGCCCTGGATTTAACTCGCATCGAACTCCCACGAGCCCCGAAGGCTCGCCCTGGAGTTACTCCAGTGTGGTCCCATTAACTCCAGGCAAACCTCCCCAGTGATAACGATGTGCACCCGGCGTAAAAAACCGATAGGCAGAACCCTCCTCTCCGTGTGACTCCATCAGCTGCCTCTCTACTTCCAGCTTAGTCTACAATTGTTCCACCGACAGAAATAATCTGGACTCTATACTTGTGCCGATGCCGGGGGGGGGCGTGGGGGGTCTGGAAATGGAGAGGAAACTCTAACGTACAGCCACCGGATCCACATTAACCAGCTCCGTAGAGAGAGCACGAAGGGAGCACAAAGGCAAGACCTTCTGCCAAAGGCTTCTGTCCAGCCCTAAACGGGGTGTCTCTATCGAAAGGCAAACTGCTCCGAATCCGAACTCCAGGCTGCGCTTCTTCGGGTGAACGGAGCGGCAAGATGCAAACTGGAATCAGGAAAAGTTTCTTTGCTTGGACCAAGCTGCCATGCTAAAGACTCATTTTGTTCATGGTTATTTTGCTGCCGTAAACTTAAAACAGAAGGAAGGAAGGAAGGAAGGAAGGAAGGAAGGAAGGAAGGAAGGAAGGAAGGGTATTATAAAAAATAGCCTTACCTGGTAAGTAATACAGAGGCGGTTTCAGTCCAAACATGGTTTATATCACAGATCCAAGGCATCCAGAAGAAAAAAAGAAAAGAAAACCCAAGTCTGGCAAAAAGGACTAGAGAATAAATAATAATAATAATAAACCACTCAGAGGTTTTATTTAAAAAACAAAAATAAATTAAAATAAGCTGGATCGGAATAAGGGAAAAGTGATAACGGTGATTTTTTAAGGGTCTTTTGTCAAAATTGCGTTAGCTGAGCAACAGACCAAGAGCTCAACTGCACTTCTTCAAACAGCCAACATTATGCTCCTTGTGTCTTCTGGTCGGTTTCCCGTCCTCCCTCCTCCCTTTCTTGCCTTTTTTTAGTCCGGAGCGATGCAAATAGAGGGAAACAGACAGAAAGAGAAACTAAAGAGCGAGCAAGAGATGGCAGAGAAAGAAGGTCGTGGCTTGTTTTTTTTCCTCTGTCCCCCCCACCCTTTTAATACAGAATCTCCTTTAGGGGATTATTCATTTAGCGGAGGGGAGTGGAGGGGGGGAGCGGAGGGGAGGGAAAGCGAATCAGCCCCCAGACATGTTAGTAGCTCTTTTCTCCATTCAGTCACTTGAATGTCAAGGGTGGTGGGGGGGGAAGTCAATGGGTTTGTTTTCAATGAGGCTTCATGTTCAGCATCAAATTAAAAAGAAAAAAGCGGGGAGCGTTGTTGGAAGGGAAGACTGCGCAAGACGCGCAGAGGGGAGTTGGACTGTCGCGCGCTCTTTCTCTGGTTGTCAAGCAGGAACAGGGCTTTGTTTTGTCATTCCCCTTAGCTACTGGTTTACAAAAGGGAGGGGAGGAGGGGGTGGAGAAAGGGTGGCGGCTGAGGGCGATGGGAGGGCAGGCGCGGGGGGGGGGGGGGGGGGCGGGGACCCCCGGGGGGGGGCGGGGGGCCCGGGGCGGGGGGGGGGGGGGGGGGCGCTGCTGGCCCCAGAGGACCGCGGGGGCCACTGTTGGGGGGCGAGCAGCCCTGGGACGCCTGATCTTCCCTTTCGCTGCACCCCACCAGCGATTCAGAGACTCAGAAAGGAGGAGGAGGAGGAGGAGGCGATCCAGAAAGAGGGCGAGGACCAGTACGCCCTGCAAGGGTTCTGTCCAGCGACTCACTCAAGGCAAGGCGGGGAGAGAAGGGGGGATAAAGCAGCGTCAGAGCGTGCCCCCCCCCCAATCAATTTTCATGCAAGAATCATTATCGGTAAATTGGAAATCTGGCGAGCTGACAGCAAATTTGTCTCTCCTAATGAAAGAGAGAGGGTAGGAAATCATCAAGCATCTGCTCTTCGCAGGCTGAAGTCTCCAGCGCTTTAATGCCGGGGAGGTTTCCTTCAGTCTTTTAGCATTTGTCTTCTTAATTTTCCCTGAAGCTTTTTTTTTTTTTTTTTAAGGGAAGCGAAATGGAAAAAGAGAATGTGCATCTTTGAAAGAAAGGAAGGAAAAAAGGAAGGAGAAGAATGACCGAAGAGGCGTAAGGCAAGGAGGGCTTGGGCAGTGAACGGATCGTCTTCTGAAGGCAAACCAGTTCTGGGGGTGATCATGGTCTGAGGCAATAACTAGAGGGGCAAGGAAGGACCCCAAAATGAGGGGACCATATGAAGCATCTCTTCCACTCACCCCACTTGGTTCCACCTCCCTCCCAGTTCCCCACAAGACTCCCCTCCCCTTGGCTCCTGCTTTCCATGTAGAGCAGCTGCTAGTCCAGGAAAAAATAATTAATAACCACCCCCCCCCACAATACTCATGCACAAGCTGCTTCGATTCTCTCTTGCAAAGGTGATGCTGAAGAGAAAAGAGGAGAACTTCCTCCTTCGCTGGTCGGACACTGACAGCCCGGCCGCGGGGAGGGAGGGAGGGAGTCACAGCCAGTCCCAAGCGTCCCAACCTGTCCACAAGCAACTCCCGGCTACGTAGCTGCCCCTGGTGAATCCGACGCGGCTCCCCTTGCACGGCCCAAAAGCGAGTTCTTGGGACTGTATGCCATCACTGGGCAGCTTCTCGCCCCGCTCATGTCCCACTGCCCAGAAGGCGCTCCCCGTCCACCCTGGGTGGGCACCCAACTTGTAGGAACAAAACAGCATTCTAGAGGAAGGCCACAAGGGGGGGGGCTCCTGGGGTGCATTTTGTTTTCAGCAGAGACACCAAAGCAATGCTGACTAGAGGGAGGAAAGGAAGGGTGAAGTGTCGCCTCGACACCTCACCTGACACAGATGCCTGCTTCCTATATGGAGTTTTCTTTGTAGCCCTGGGCTGCTAAGCAATAAAGCATCTTCACGCATATAAAGTGTAGGCTGGACAGGAAGGCACGAGGTTCATTTTTAAAAAGAACTATAGCCATCTACCCCAATCTGGTACCCTCCAGACCTTCTGGACTTCAACATGAATTGGTGCCCAGCGGCTCAGTCAAGGGTCAGTAATGCTACGAGCCACGGTCCAAACCATCTCTAGGGTATCAGCCGTACTTTACTATGGATTAAGGGTGTGGAAGAAATCCACATTCAAATTCATTTGGATTTCTATGCATTGCAACCCTTGGATTCTGCAGAGACTGGGCTATTCCTGCGTGACATGGACCTCTGTGAGCTTGCAAGGCAGTTTATTTCTTTCCGGAATGTTATGCACATTGACCTGCAGGAAAATACAAGGAGAAAAAACAAAGCCACTGACCAAAAATGCGCATTTCCCCTTCTCCCCATAGGCTAAAGTGTGAAAATATGTGTCAGCAGGGAATTTGCACATTTGGGTGTGCTTTGAGCAAGTTCAGAAGTGCAAATTTGCACAAGTATGAACGAAAGCTGGTGAGGGGACTGATGCCATAAATGAGCAAAGAATGGCATGAAAAGAGTCTGACAATTTGCAAATTGCAGACAGATTGTATTTAACATCCATACATCCCTATAGCAGAGAGAGAAAACCGCAGGCAGAACACATTGGAAAATTAACTTGCTCGTTTGTGATCCCGTCTCCCATGGGGGGAGGTCCTGCGATTCAAACTGGGCACCTCTACATATTCCAGCCGGAATGATTATAAAATACCCACAGTGGAAAGTGACCAGGTAAAATTGGTTACTTTTAGGTGAAGAACTTGGGTAGGATGCAAACCCTGAAGTTCCCTGGGACTTTCAACCAGCAGCACCGAGAGGGGTCAGAACTTTCAAGCTGATGCTTGAGAGAGATGGGCTGGCAAGCAGGAACTGGCTCGCACAGGGATCCAGAAAGAAGAGTGCCTTTGTTCCGTTCACATCATGTGCTTTTCGTTCCCTTCTTCCCCAAACTGCGGCCTGCTCTTCACTGCAAAGTTCAAGGAGGCAAGCGTGCGATATCGCTGCACTGCAAAGATCAGCCACATCCTGTGCCGATTACGGCTGTCCTTTCAACAGCTTAAAGGGGTAACCGCAGCGAAGATGGCCCGCCTGGGGTGTGGGGAGTGCATGCAAGTGCCTGCCTGATGCTCACGTCCCTGCTGCCCCTCAAAAAGACCCACAGCGGTACTCAAAGAGATCCAACATTCAGAGAGATCCACCTGCAATCACGCACGAGCGAGCAACTCCCCTGCCGCCGCCACGGAAGGTCACAGGGAGGTTTCCAGTTTCACCAAAACGCAAGGTGCATGAAAAGGCCCTTAAAACCACACGGAGCACCATCTCCGCGCAGCTTGTTTACACACTGCTGCAGAAACCTGCAAAACTTACTGAACTGCAGGAAACAGATGGACAACGTGTGTGTCGATAGCATGGGAAGCGATGCCTCCAACCGCTTTCAGCCATCCTCAGAACTGCTGTTGGCCTGCTGCTCGAGTTGGGAGAGACCAGCTCGCAAATTCCACCCTGCTGCGCGTGCTCTGCAGATTCGATCAGAGGAGTTTCAGGGGGTGTGCAAGGGGGCTAGCAGCCCCCTCCCCGCATCCGGGCCACGAACGGACTGCGTTGCATCAGTGGGAATGGTTGCCTTTGCCAGGAACAGTGGGCATCATTCTCGCGCGGAGATCTGTGGGTCGCCATGTCGTGCAAACACGGGTGGCAGTGGTGGTGTGAGGCTCGGCAGCTCACCGATAAACCCAACGCAGCCACAGGATGAGGGCTGCCCAACGCTCGTGCCAACACTGCGACCCGGGTTCACATGCCAGGGCAGCTCCTGGCAAGCCGGGCTCCACAGCCCCTGTAGGGAGACTGTGCGGTGGGAGGGAGGGTGCCATGGCAGGTGAACCGGAGAGAAACAGTTCGCCTCCACCTAATGTGCCAGGTCAAATATGAGCAGGGAAGGCCAGCTCCACCTGGGGGAGGGAGCCAGTTTAAACCAAGGAAAAGCTATTCCCGAGTAAGACCCGGGACAGAAGCCATTCCCCTCACTGAGAAAGCAGATCTGTCCTTACAGCACCCGAAGGACCAGCCAGGACGACAAGAGAGCAAGCTGCTTCTCACGATCAAAGCCACCAACAGGGCCGCGGGTGACGTGAAGGCTGCCTTACCCTTGCATAAGGCACAGGCGCTACGCTCAGGTGTGATGAGAGCCTCCGGCCGGCAGGCTCTGCAGCTCTCCATGCCTCGGACCTCTCGCACGGGGCTGCCTCGGCCACGTGAATTCGCCTGTTGCGAATCTCCCAGATTCCCTCCGAATGCAAGAGGAACAGCCAGCGCAGCCAGAGGCAGACGACGGGGTCGGCCCGTGGGCCCAGGTGGAACGTTCCTACAGGCACGCCTTGGGCGAAACCGCACAAGGGACCCCTTCCCCGGGGAGCCCCCGACTGCCTTCCCTTGGCACCCACCTCTCTGATGGGCAGACGGCACCCCGGAAGCAGGTGGCTCTCCACCAAAAGCCATCTACCTGTGCAAGAGAGCACCAAGGTGCCTGGCTGCGATCCTTGTGTTTCCGCTTGCAGAACTCTGGGGGAGGGAGAGTTCAGGCTGCAGAAGCAGCAGTGCAGGAAGGTTTCGAACCCCTCCCACCCAGCCCCCCAGCCCTGCTGCTTTTACCTTTGGGTGGGAGGGAGGAAATGCTCCGACCTCTTTTTATTATATCTGCCTCGGCCGTAACTTGTTTCTCCTCAGGAATGGGCTTTAATGAAGGATCGGCCACTTTGGAGATGGTGGAATTTACAAAAGTGGCACAGCTGGCCAGTTGGCTGAATTTTAAGAAGAAATGCCCAAGGTGGAATGCTTCCCTCAAAAGTGATCCATCTTAATTTCTTCTATCAGGTTTCATACTGAGAAAAGAAATCAGCCCTCCCTGTTGAGGCTACAAAAGCACATGCTCTGAAAATAAAAGACAAGGCAGCTATTTAAAGTTCTCTGAAGACTAAGTAACTTACTTTATTTTCTCAAACAAACAGTTGCAGACTTATACAGAGCTGGATCTCTTGACTGCACCCTCCCAGCAGGATTTTACTGAGATACAGCTAAAGACATCCCCTTCCCCCTTTTCTCCAAGGTTTTTTTTTTTTTAAATGGGGCACCTCTCCCCCTCCTCTCTTAATTTTTCTGCTTTTCCCAGTTCCTTTCCTACACCTTCCCATGGTTATATACAACCAGGACAAGAAAGTGACATGAATTTACTTCCAAGCAGGGCAGCTTCTCCCCCACCACATTTCTCAGGCTGCAGTCATCTGAACCCCGATAACAGCCTTCCCCACTCAGCAGAGTCCTCCCCTTTTTTCTTCACAACAACCCTGCAAGGTGGGCTAGGCTGGGTCAGTGGCT